GGCGCGAGCCGAGCGCCGTGCCGTCTGCACCCGGGCCCGGCGCTGGGGCTGGCACGTGCGGCGCGAGGGCTCCTCTGCTCCCGAGTGGCACCCTTAGCACCCTGGGTTTGTGCCTCTCCTCCTGCAGTCCCCACCGAACCCCCGACCCCGGCGATCTGCTCTCTCCCAATAAGACGCGCACCCGCTGCTTGTTTAGCTCGGAGTGTTATTTCTGTGTGTGCTGTCGTTAAATGCTTGTCGGGCAGGATCCCCGTCAATGGGACGGGGGAGCTGCGATCCCAAGGGAGGCCTGTCTGGGAACGGTACGGCTGCGGGATGCTGAACGTTGTGGGTGAGTGAAGCAGGGAGTGTTAGCAGCAAAGCCTGAAGAGTTAATTGGGGGAGCCTACGCTACCCTTCTGCCTTGGCTGCCTGGAGAACGCAGAGGGAGAGGAGGGGAAAACCATCTCTCCGCTCCTGCAGGGCAGCAGTCCAGGATGGGGTTTACTGGGTGGGAGTTGGAGCCAGCAGCTTTCCTTTCTCCGTGTTGGCAGGTCCATACAGAGGAGGCTGGGAGCCGGGCAGAGCTGGCCGCTAGCTTCTTGCCACCTGCTCTTTAGGACTGTCCTCCTGCAGGTCCTCCTCGTCCGACTGCACCACGGGGGTCTCGGCCCCTTCCTCGCTGGTGTCCAAGCTGTTCAGGTCCGTGGAGACAGAGGATGTGGAGGAAATGCGAGACTTGGCCTCGGCTGCACTGGGCACTTGCAGGGTGATTTCCTCCGGGCACTGGCTGGCATCTGCTCCTGGAGGAGAGAGAGGTAAGAGGAGAAAGCAAAGGCTTTTGGAGGTCTCTTGCTCCCTGAGCTTCATGCGTAGCCTCTCCTACCTTACTCCTCTGCAGGATACGCTTCCCTAGGCACTCCCAGCTGCTTCCCTCTTCACCCCGCTTTGCTGCCCAGTGAGAGGCATGTGGCTGCCTTTGCCTGTTCCCCAGCTCACCCCGGGCTTGGCTCTGGGCAGCGTCTCACATTCCTTCCCCATTTTTGGCAACGGAGCCTTCTCTTGTCTTCTCAGAGACGTGGCTCAGAGCTGCGTGTGGCCATCGGCTGCAACCCGTGAGATCTGTGAGGGAGGTGTTTGGCTTGGCCTTGGAGTGAATCACTGCAGTGCATATGCATGGGGAGGAAGGTCCTGGCACCCCAGGCTTTCCTTGCAGGGACCTAAGCCCATCTGCCTGCTGCTGGCTCACAGGGACTGGACTGCAAGGTGGAGGGGTCCTGGAGCCTTCCCGCTCAGCCCAGTGAGCTCTGCCGGGTTGTGGGGACTTGAAAAATCATGACAAGACAGTGGCTGCTCCAGAGAAGTTTTAGGACGTGGGATTTCAGCTCCACAGGCTCTGGAAAGGGCCTCTGCTCTACTGTCTTCAGCAGAAGCTAGTTACAGGAGTCCGTATCTCAGGGCTGCCCTCTGGGATTAGATGCTCTGCAGCTGAAGGTGGATGCTGCCATGGACCAGCCCAGAGTGAGATCTTCCCAACCCTGCAGTCCCCAGCACCAACTGGCCGTCTCTGTACGGGGGGCGTGTCTGTGCGCGCACGCTGAGCGTGGGAGCGGGATGGACGAGGCAGGGTGGTGTGGTCTGAAGAACGAGCCAGCTGGTGGGTGCAGTGGGGCAGGAAGAGCTCCCAGCCTGGCCTGTAAAGGGCTCAGACCGCACATACCTGGCAGGGGCCCAGCAATGCTGCTCTCCTCTGTCCCACAGCCAAGAAACACGTCCACAGCGTCCTGGTCTGACAGGTCCATCATGTCCATCTGCTCCAGCATGTCCACGTTCACCTCCATGGAGGAAATGCTGCCTAAGGGGGCTGCAGAGAACGAGGGCCGGCAAAAGGTGAGTGCTCCTGCCAGGCGAAGGGCACCATTAGCCCTGTGCTAGCAAGACCAGTCCAGCCCACAGACTCCAGGCAGGACCTGGAAGAGGGAGACCAGCCTTGCTGTGGAGAGCTGAGTTCCACTTGCTGTTAAGAGGTCCCCGGGAGAATTGTGCTCCCTTAAAACATCCCTTTGGAAGACTCTGCTTTCTCACTGCCATCCTTGTTCCTGCTCCACACTGCTGTCTGGAGAAGCCCGTCTCAATCTAGTGACTATGGAGGGAGCCAGCCTTGGTACCCAAGTTCAGTGCCTGCCAGTTAAGTGGCGTGAGTAATCCACACGCACACCCACGTGCTGTGTGTGCAGCGCTGCCTCAGTGCAAGACACGTATCCCCAGCTACCTTTAGACTGGCAACACCCCCAGCCCACCAGTCTCTAAGGCCTGCGTTGCTGTTCCCTGAAACGCCCCCAATTCCCACGCTGGTGCCCCCAGCACTTACGTCTCCGATGCTCTATCTGCAGGTGAGACATCGGGAAGAAGAAATCCACGTCGTGCTGGAAAACCTCCTCAAAGAACTTCTGCCGGTCCCGCAGTCTGAGCTGCTGCTGCATCTGCTCCGCATCCAGGCTGCGCTGCCCCTGCTCCATGTCGGCTGGGGAGGAAGGAGAGGAGGGTCGGGACAGGCAAGGCTGTCCCAGCCCTCCTCTCTGTCCAGCTCACGTGGTGCCGCTGTGCTGGAGGGTAGGTGATTCTCTTCTGCTCTGCTTTACTGGTGCACGCTAATTTGGTTGCCGTGAATAGATACTACACGCTAAAGCAGCAGTGCCACCAGCACTTGCTGTGTTGCAGCCTCAGATCTCTCTTTTGAGATTCAGGGCAGCCAGGAATTGGAAGCTTGTATGCTACATTCACTTTTCATGAAGTGAATTGTTGGAAGGGACAGGGTGTTGATGTGAGTTTGATATTCAAGTTTGATATAGTTTGCACATGTCAAACTTGAATTCTGTTGCTACAAAACAAGAGGATTGTCTGTAAATACTAACATGCAGGAGAAACTCTCCCAGGGATGAGGGCAAGAAGTGGCATTAGCGCCCCACGGTTGCTGGGGCTAAGAAGCGCTCAAGGAATAAGAGGCATTAGCAACCCTGCCGCCCCCTGCACACATGCACCCCGCCGCCGCCGCTGGTCTATAAATACAGCCACACCCACGCTTGCAGGCTCCCCCGCTCGCATCCCCTGCTCACGCAGCCAACCTGGCTTCTGCCTGCACAAACGTTTTCATTCCTTTAATTCCTCCCGCAGTTCAGCGCTGCTCCCTGCATCCCAAACTCGCTTGGGTGTGACGAGAGCCCTCGGGCAGTGGCTGAAGGGAGCCAGAAGTGAGCTTGGAGCCTGCATCCTCGCCTCTGGTACATCCCTGCTGGCTTGGGTACCCGCAACAGCAAGGACCTAAATGCCACAGAGGGGCTGTGGCCGCTCCCAGCAGTGGCCCTGGCTGCTCCCAGGCCAGTGTTTGACCTCAGTTGTTCCAGATTTCCTCTCTGCCGCTCTTGGCCCAGCCGGCACAAGGAAAATGTGATTACTGAAGCAGGCAGTGCGGTAACTAGGGAAACCAAACAAACATCCTCTGCTCTCTCTGAGCACGGCCCAAACCCTCCACTCCTTGGGCTGGGGAGGAGGGGAACAGAGCAAGCGTCGGCCATGGCCCAGCATCCCCACCCTGTCTGGCAGGGGACTTGCTGTCAGCAGTGTGTGGTGGCAGTAAGACCTGAACGGAGGAGAGGGGATGGGCCTGGCAAGATATCCCAGAGATAGATGTCATTTCTTCCTAAGAGCTCTTTCTCTGCCCCTTGCACCCCTTTGGGGTATCCCTCAGCCAAACCCCCTCCTCTCCAGGCACCTGCCCTGGGAAGCCGGGTTCCCGTGTCCGCAGCACGCCGCTGGCGATGCAGCGTGACTCAGGGCTCCGTCACCGTGGGCTTCCTGCAAGAAGCTCTGGTCCTCTCTTGATCGCTCAGCGTGTTCCTGCCGTGCGCGGCGTGGGGATCCTGGCTGCCTGTGGTCTGGCGTGTCTGACCTAGGCGCTCGGCACCTGCTGGGTGTGCTGAGCAGACCCTGGACTAACAGCTGAGGTGGTGAAAGCGCTGTTCGGGTCAAGTTTTCCTTGCTAGGCTGACCGTCGGCTGCAGCCCAAGCCCTGCTCCCCCGGACTCCCTCCCTCGGCACGGGGTAAGGCAGAAACCTGCGCTGTCAGCACCAGGCTTTGGTCCCCCTGCTGTGCTGCGTGACCTCAGGGGACTGGCCGTGCCACCGCTTCCCATCTCACTGTCTCGTTTTCCGGCCCCCAGGCTGGAGGGGGATGGAGCAGCTCGCCGTGCAGCATCTTGCCAAAGGGGCCCTCGTTTGCCTAGGAGCAGGGTCTCTAAATCCTCCTGCAATGCAAATACAAAATAAACCAAAATCCTGCTCTACGGGGTAGTGGACGCTGCCCCAACTGCTGTGAGCGTGGCTGATCTGTCCGGCTCTTTCGCAGCTCGTGCCCGCTACGAGGAGGGGTGAGGGCACGCGGGAGGAAGCGGGACAGGCGCTGGCAGCGGCGTCCCTGTGGCTGAGCGGGGAACGCACGCTAGGAGCTATATTGCGGGAGAAATTAGCAGGACCTGTTTACAAAGTTGTTTTCGAGCAGTCCCTGGGGAGCCGGGCAGGAGCACTGAGATGCCGTTATGCAACGCGCGGCAGCAGCGGGAGC